CGCTGCCGCCGCGCACAGGGCCGCCGCCACATGGCCGCGGGCGGGGCTCCCGGGCGACCCCCGCTGCTTCTCCTGTGTACGGGGCCCTAGGCGGTCCGAGAGGTGCCAAAGGCTACCCTGGAGGGAGTTTTCCTCCAGTGGGGTTCTGTGCGGAGCATGCTGCCAGCTGGGGCGCAGTTAAGCCTTACCCTAGATGCGCTCACAATACAAAAGAGGAAACTGAGGCCCCCCCAGGTCAGGTCGCTGCAGGAGGCCACACAGGTAGCCGCTTGGGGCAGCCTTTGGGCTCAGGCAGGTCTGTCTGGAACCAGACGATGGTGCTGGGGTGTGAGGTTAGAGGAAAAGAGGAGACCAGTGTTTGGGGGGCGGGGTTTTACCTACCCTCCGTTTATACTGTGGCCACCTGTCTGTCACCTCGCACCACCCACCCCCTGCAGAAGCCAAGTTCACTCTCCTCCGTCCCCACCAAAAATCCTTCCTGCCATTCCTCGGGCCACGGAATATCAAGGACTCTCCCGCCCCCAAGCCAGCCCACACTAGGATGGCAAGTGTGCCCCGTGCTTGGTGGGTAATGGACCCGCCAGAAGAAACAGAAGGACTGGGAGTGGGCCGTGGTGTGGGGGTGGTGGAGGAGGCTCTTACTTTCTCTTGTCAGAAATATCTATATATATATTTTGTTGAAAATTAACTTTGCAATTAAAAACTTTTTTAAGAAAGAGAAAAGCCCTCACCATCCTTCACCATCCAGCTCCAGCTCTGCACAAGGCTTTCCTGGCCAATGTGGAGTCCCAGGGCCGGAAGGGTGCTCAGAGGGAGTGGATGTTCCCAGACCTGTTTCCCTTCCAAACCCTCAGTCTTGGCTTGAAGTGAAGGCTCACGCCAGGTCTCCAGACCACCACGGCTTCCAGGGACCACGAGTGCTCCGGTGGGGGCTGAACAGAGCATTTCTGAGGAGGCCACAGCTCTGCGGGACTCTGCCACTGGGATCCTGTCTCGTGGTCTCTGGACATGTGCCCGTCGCGGCGATGTCCACTCTGCTCACCCCAGGTCTGGGAGTCGGGGATGTTCTTCCAGGCCTGTGATGTAAACAAGGAGCAAAGTGATCAAAGCAAATGTGAGTTCTGTGCACACTAAACCCTCAGAGCTCTGTGCGGAGATGTGAGTTAGAACTCGCTGGAGCAGTGACCTGAAAACCCAGCCCAGGCAGCTCTGCAGGGAGGAAGCCCTCAGAGCCTGGAGAGGTGGGCGGGGCTCTCTGAAGGCAAAGGAAGGTGGAGGGCTCCTCTAAAGACCTGGAGGTGTGTGAGGCCTTGGGACCCCTGGTACGTCTATGCGTGGTCTGTGCGACAGAAACAGAAGTGTCATAGGCAGTCCAGGGAAGGGCAAGAGAGGTGGACAGTGGGGTCTGCTTCCCAAGCCTCAGGGACACGTGATTTGGGCACCAAGTGGTGCCACATTTACGTGCGCTGTCCTGTGAGAGTTTGGGGACAGTTGCCTACGTGAGTCTAGAGGCTGGAGTTGAATCTCGTTTAAACTGGCCTGAATGCCTTAAGATGAAGAATCGCCTCATGGTCAAGGGCATGGGTTCTGGAGCCAGGAGGCCTGGTTCAAACCCTTCTCTACTTTTCGCAGCTGCGTGATCCTGGGCAAGTTAGTTGCTTGGTTGGGAGACAACCAGTAGGTCTCCGGTGTTTCCATGTATCTGACAAGCTCAAGCAGTGACAGCTTTGGCTCAGGGCTCTTTTTTCCAGGATGTTCATACAGTGAACGGCCTTGGAAAATAGTGTTTCCCTCTGGCCCAGAGGACAGGGTGGTCTGCCAACCAGGATAGCAAAGGTGAGGCCTCTGGGGCAAAGGTTGGGCAAGTTCCCTGCAGCCCATCAACACTGGGGTTTCCTTAGCTGTGACGCAGACCTACTGTGTGTCAGTATCTATCCTGGGTCCCCTGTGTTGCCCCACGGAGAATCAGTACCCGCCGAAGTTCATGTTGCCTGCCGTACTGCGAGTAATAAAGCCTGTTACCTCTGACCTCAGGAGTCTGAAACCTTCTGCCAGCATCCATAAAACCTCAGTAGGCTGACCTGTTAATTCGCAAGTAGGGTCAAATCTCAGGGCTTCCCCAAAATATTTAAAACCACACTGTTTCTGTTGTTATAGTGTCACAAACAAAATTATACAGAGTTATAAGAAATATTGGGACCAGCAGTTAGCGTGATGGCTATGTCGCTGGACTCCCACGTAGTCGACTGTGGTTCAAGTCCCGGACCTGGTGACTTAAACTCACGCCGGGCGCATATGTGTGCGTGCCCAAGATCCCGAGAGGAGAATGGAGGAGAAGGGATTGAGGCATGGCCATCCCCCCTGGGGGGTGATTTCTCGCTGTCTCTCTGTCTCTCTCTGTCTGTCTGGCAAGCGCATGCGCCCTATAGCAAAAACCTCTCAAAAAAAAAATTTAGAACGTTATCTTTAAAATTCGGTATTTTGAAATTCTGAAAGTTGTTTATTAACTTTCAAGAACTATGGAGCATGAGTTAAATTTTTTTGATATGTAAAGTAAATGTTTGTAGAAAAATTAAAAATAAATTAAAATTTCAACACATTTCAGGGCTTTCACAGTTTCTGAAAACTGTGCCTGTTTTGAAAACCCTGCCTGCGTCTCGGTTTTCTGACCTGTGAAATGGGGAGTAAGAGCGGTCCGTGCGTGGCCAGCCTGGCTAGGTGTGGGATCTCACCGTGGATCAAAGCAAATGTGAGTTCTGTGCACACTAAACCCTCAGAGCTCTGTGCGGAGATGTGAGTTAGAACTCGCTGGAGCAGTGACCTGAAAACCCAGCCCAGGCAGCTCTGCAGGGAGGAAGCCCTCAGAGCCTGGAGAGGTGGGCGGGGCTCTCTGAAGGCAAAGGAAGGTGGAGGGCTCCTCTAAAGACCTGGAGGTGTGTGAGGCCTTGGGACCCCTGGTACGTCTATGCGTGGTCTGTGCGACAGAAACAGAAGTGTCATAGGCAGTCCAGGGAAGGGCAAGAGAGGTGGACAGTGGGGTCTGCTTCCCAAGCCTCAGGGACACGTGATTTGGGCACCAAGTGGTGCCACATTTACGTGCGCTGTCCTGTGAGAGTTTGGGGACAGTTGCCTACGTGAGTCTAGAGGCTGGAGTTGAATCTCGTTTAAACTGGCCTGAATGCCTTAAGATGAAGAATCGCCTCATGGTCAAGGGCATGGGTTCTGGAGCCAGGAGGCCTGGTTCAAACCCTTCTCTACTTTTCGCAGCTGCGTGATCCTGGGCAAGTTAGTTGCTTGGTTGGGAGACAACCAGTAGGTCTCCGGTGTTTCCATGTATCTGACAAGCTCAAGCAGTGACAGCTTTGGCTCAGGGCTCTTTTTTCCAGGATGTTCATACAGTGAACGGCCTTGGAAAATAGTGTTTCCCTCTGGCCCAGAGGACAGGGTGGTCTGCCAACCAGGATAGCAAAGGTGAGGCCTCTGGGGCAAAGGTTGGGCAAGTTCCCTGCAGCCCATCAACACTGGGGTTTCCTTAGCTGTGACGCAGACCTACTGTGTGTCAGTATCTATCCTGGGTCCCCTGTGTTGCCCCACGGAGAATCAGTACCCGCCGAAGTTCATGTTGCCTGCCGTACTGCGAGTAATAAAGCCTGTTACCTCTGACCTCAGGAGTCTGAAACCTTCTGCCAGCATCCATAAAACCTCAGTAGGCTGACCTGTTAATTCGCAAGTAGGGTCAAATCTCAGGGCTTCCCCAAAATATTTAAAACCACACTGTTTCTGTTGTTATAGTGTCACAAACAAAATTATACAGAGTTATAAGAAATATTGGGACCAGCAGTTAGCGTGATGGCTATGTCGCTGGACTCCCACGTAGTCGACTGTGGTTCAAGTCCCGGACCTGGTGACTTAAACTCACGCCGGGCGCATATGTGTGCGTGCCCAAGATCCCGAGAGGAGAATGGAGGAGAAGGGATTGAGGCATGGCCATCCCCCCTGGGGGGTGATTTCTCGCTGTCTCTCTGTCTCTCTCTGTCTGTCTGGCAAGCGCATGCGCCCTATAGCAAAAACCTCTCAAAAAAAAAATTTAGAACGTTATCTTTAAAATTCGGTATTTTGAAATTCTGAAAGTTGTTTATTAACTTTCAAGAACTATGGAGCATGAGTTAAATTTTTTTGATATGTAAAGTAAATGTTTGTAGAAAAATTAAAAATAAATTAAAATTTCAACACATTTCAGGGCTTTCACAGTTTCTGAAAACTGTGCCTGTTTTGAAAACCCTGCCTGCGTCTCGGTTTTCTGACCTGTGA